AGTGTGCGGGGCGGGGCAGTACTCACTATGGTGCGGTCAATAGTGTGCAGGTAGTAGGAGACTGGCTTCCCTGTCCAGGAGACCGAGCCCTTCAGGGGCGACAGCTCCACGACGCGCATGATGGTGCCGATATCTATGGGGATAAGGGGCCCGGGCTGCAGTGAGGCTCCCCTAGTGATGCCCCACTCAGTTCCACAGCACATGGATCAGGGACCCTGAGCTGCATCTAAAATGACCTGAACACACCAAACCCCTTGCTGAAAGTAGTGACCACAGGCAAGCCCCCCAGCCCCTCCAGAGCAGGTTCCCATGGGGGCACTGGACAATGTCCTGAGACACTGGCAGCCAGCATGACTCGGGAGGGGCATTAGTGGCATCACCTGGGTGGAAAGCAGGAAAGCTGCTCAAGAGCCAAGAGAAGGATCCAGACCCCATTTCAGCAGGACCCAGGGGGACGCACCACAGCAATGAAACAATAGACGTTGCTTACCACTCAAGTTTCGACTGTTAATTCTGAAGTTGAGAGGTGCAAAGGGTTTGGAGGACACGATTCTGCCACCTGAGACACAAACATGAATTACCACCACTCTTGGGCAGAAGCACACACTGTCCCAAAAGGCCCAGAGACAACGTCAGAGTGAGAGGGGGGAATTCGGGAAGGAAGGAGCCTGCCAGCTAGGTCCGCAGCATGCAGCTGCCGTCTCTGGGCAAGGGCACACGGTGGGAACAAGGGACGGTGTTGGGTCAGCAGTGACTTCAGGTTATCAGGAAATGAAAAAGGGGTCCCCCATGTGGGCACAGTGATTTCTTTAAAAGAAAGTGACAGCTGGTGGGAGAATAAACTGGGGCAGTGAGTACCACGTCCCAGGGGGCTACAGGCGGGCCCCCCTCCACTCATCACCACCTCCATGAAAATGTAGCACAGATTCATAATGAAAGCTTAATCTGCAAATAAAAGACGCACACCCAAGAGCCACACATGAACAGGAAGCAAGTGTAACTGGGTGTCACACTGTCGGGCAGACTACACCCAAACAGTATCACCAGGACCCCAGCAGGGAAGGGAAGCTGTCACGAGGGACCTTTTACATAAACCGGAGAAACGTCAGCTAAGCAAGTGGATCACTGCTTTTCGGAATCAAGTTTTCCAGGGAGAATTCAATATAAGTATCAAAACAGAAAATAATGTTAAATTACAAGTGTCACACAAACCCACTGAAACACAGTGCACGCATGTTTACACATGTTGTTTGTTATGAGCCACTGAGTTGGTCCCCTACTCATTGCAACCCTACAAAGGTTTCAGAGGAGCGGCTGGTGGGTTTGAACCGCCAACACCGTGGTTAGCAGTCCAGTGCTTATCCTATCGTACCACGCCAGGACTCCGTTTACCATTTGGTAGCAATACTTTTTTTTGACTTTGCCTCACATAAGATAAGTCAAAAAGTACTGCTACAAACCCATAAAACCCGTATTATGTGATGCTATTGCTTCTCCACATATCCTCCTCCCTCCTGGGACAGTGCTGCAGGATCAACACTAGACTGTGGACCACAAGGTCGGCAGTTCAAACCCACCAGCTGCTCCTTGGAAACCCTATACAGGGTCACTATGAGTCACTAACAACCTTTCCCTGAAAAATTCTGTGCTCTCAGGATAGAGAGAAACACTGTTAACTGATGGTATGTGGAGGGGATTATAATCAATGTAATGAAACAAGTCATATGAATGGTTGAATGTGAAACTGATGATGTGCCCTGTAAACCTTCACTCAATCCACAATAAAAACCTTAACTTAAAAAAAAAAAGAAGAGAAGTAGTAAGAACTGGTGGCCAGGAGCAGACTTGCAGAACATGCCCTTTGGAGATGACTTTCACTCAATCCACAATAAAAACCTTAAATTAAAAAAAAAAAAATTCTGTGCTCTCAGATCTATGCCCCGTCAAAATAAGGTTTGGTATTCTTGAGGGGCTAAAATTGTTATTTTATAATGTTCTCTGGGTTTGGGGAACAAAAAGAGATCTGAAGGGATAAGATCAGGGCTGTAGGGTAGATGAGAAAGAGTGAGGTTTCCCAGCAAAACTACCAGACAGCCTCTCTATCCTCCAAGACGGAGCTGGTCCAATGTCACAATAAAAAATTCCTCACCGAGAAGGAGCAGCTGGGAACTTTGGACTCAGGGAGGGAGAGGCACAGTGTGCGTGTGCGTGTGCGTATGCGTATGCCGGGGGTACCTTTTGGCTGTTTGATAATACATGCAGGAGAGTGTAATCATTGCAATGCAACGAAATACGGTAAGATGAATGTAAAGACGGTGTTCTCTGTAAACTAGCACATAATTCACAATAAAAACTTTAATACAAAAGTTTCTCAGCACAACTTTGTTTTCTTTTCCCCCCACCCCTCATCAATGCAGTTTCCTGGGAAAATATCTTAAGCAAGACCAGTGCTGGTGGTGTGCATTTTGAGAAAGGCCGTGAAGATGACCCCTTTGGAACCCAACAACGGAGTCACCATAACCTTCTGGGCTAAGCCACCCTGAGGACACCACGACAAGTGCCTTACTGATGGCAGAGACGTGTTTTGTTTGGAATCAACATGTATGAACTGGAACATATGAACACACACCACGGTCACACCCGGCAGGCAATCTCCACAGGCAAGGACGGCTGGTAGGAATGAGCACCCCGAGTCCCTGGTTTCAGGGCTGAGGCCTCGCTGTCCCAGACTCACGGGCTGGGGCCCTAGTTACAGACGATTGTACAATAACAACACAACAACACAAGGCCAGAGCTGAAATGGGTCAAGAGAAAAACCACCTCCTGAAAGCTGCAGGCAGACAGCGACGCCAGGCTTGTGAGGGGGGCTCTGAGTGGGCTAACAGGAAGCTCACTGTGGGAAGGTGCCGGGTGACATACTAGAACTGGGTGCTGGGACTGAGGGGGCACACAGTCTGAGTGCAGACGGTGGCCCTAGAATGAGGGCCTATCACCAGGAGAGCCGCATGCTTGAGGCGGCCAGATGTGCAGCGGGGCCGAGCTCCTTACACTCCTGGTCTGTGTCTGATGGGGCGGATCACGCTGACCTGTGTCTATCTGGAAAGTTCTAGAAGCAGATGTTTTTCTCTGAGAGGAGCCATAGTCACCAGCATGGTGGGGAGACCCACAGCTCCTCCATGCCCCCTTGTGGATGTGCACTGTCGGGCTCAGTGAGGCTGCGGAGCCCACCTGGACTGCCACCAGCTCGCCTGGTTCTGTCACATGTTATTGGTGGGCACCTCCTACAAATCCAACCAGATACCAAGAGGAAGACTAGGGGCCCACAGGATGGACAGTGCAGATTCCAACCCAGAAGTTCCTGAGAGCAGAGGGAATGCATCAGTTCTTCAGGAAGGAAAGCAGACCTTTCTAGACCCAAGGGTCCATTCAAGCGCTCCTCAGGAACTGTGCCGCCTGAGTCAGCTGCCCCCCTCCACACCAGAACAAGGCCTAATTGCCTGCATGCTGCTGAGGAAGAGAGGAGGGCGAGGAACACGGCAGACACTGACGAAATGGGCTCCCTAAATGTCCCAGCTGAGGGCCACCCAGTCAAATGGACAAGTCCCAGATCAACCGGAACTCTAGACAGACCACGACGGCCCATGGCACGGTGTAGGCAGGGCATCCTTATCCAGAAGCCGACTGGCTGTTTATCTGTGAACTCCGGCCTGAACAGGCTGGGGAGTACTCAAGGCTGTGCCATCCCAGATACAACATACAGAGGCCCCCATACATGATGAGAAAGGTCATGGAGACCGACACTGGCCAAGAGGGACTGGTCAGGACCCAGGTCAGCACCGAGCCCTGGACCTGAAGAGGCTCAGACGGCGCAGATGGGAAGGAACCCTTACCTTCCTTCATGTTTGCAAAGCGTTCCTTCAGCTGGTGGTCCACCTCAGGGCCAAAGGCAAAGTTATTCACAAATATAACGCTGTAAAACAAAGCTCCCGGTAAGTCAGGCAGGTCCACCTGGGTCTGTCTGCTGTCAACAAAGAACATTCCAGAAACGTCCTGAACCTCAAGGAGGCTGGCTGCCTTGAAAGGAGTCCAACCCCTCCCTCCCCACACCAAAAGCCGTCAAACAACCACACCTGCCTGTCTGCCTGAACTAGGGTGGGCTACAAGACCCACCCAGTGTCAGCAAGGCCCTGCAGTCACCCCCACTGAGGCCTCGGGGAGCCCGTCCAGTGTGCTGTGGAGAACCCCAGCATTTCAAAGACAGTGTGACCTCGGGAGCTGCGCTGAGGACCTGACCACTGGGGCGCTGGGAGGCCTGGGAAGGCCCAGGGCGCAGTGAGCAGAGGCCCCGCTCAGTTTTCCCATTTTCTTACATGCTGCTTAGCTCCCAGCAAGTTAGCAATGCCAGGGCAGCGAGCAAGCAGGCACAGGTGGCTGAATTCCAGCCAGCCACTGGCACAGCCCTCAGCCCACCCAGGAGGGACGGGGACACACTGAAGCCCAACAGGCTCCTAAGACTCATCTCTAAGAAGGTCTGTGCAACTGGGCCATCTGACACCCAAGGGTGAAGAGGTAGTTAAGGTGGACGTGGTGCAGCTGACTACGCCGTCGAGACCGAGGCGAGAGGACTGGAACCCCAATGGGCTGGCATGAATCTTGAGGGTTTTAATGTTAAGAAGACCGACACATTAGAGTTCTGGTGACACAGTGGACTAAACACTGGGCTGCTAACCAAAAGGCCTGTGGTTAGAACCCACTGGCCGCTCTGGAAACCAGAGTGTGTGGGGCAGTGGACTGGGTTTGGGGTTCACCCTCGGCTCCCTGGGAGAAAGATGAGGCCGTCAGCTTCCACAGAAAGCACAGCCTACTGTGGACCCCAGGGGGCAGGCCTACAACCTCCTGGGAGGTCAGTCCACGCAGGACTGACGTGGTATCGGAATAAACAAGGAGAAAGTGCCAGGGAAGCTCCAGTGAGCAGAAACCTGGCGGGGTAAGAATGGCCCGCAGGCCCGCCTGCATGTCAGCACACACAGCTGACGCCGCTCCTAGTAAGGTGGGCTGTGACGGGCCTGTGCTCGCAGGCCTGCCACCCTCCCCACTGCCCACGCAGACTCGGGAGTAGGAGAGCTCGGATGTCTGGGAGGGCGTGCGTGACCCATGTTCCCCTCTCACCCCGAACCCAGCCTGGGGACGAGGGGTGTCTGGGGTGCCAGATCTGCAGGGTGTACAGGACGTCAGGACGTCAGGACATCGGGACATCAGGACACCAGGACACCCTGCTCCGGCTTCACGAGCCCAGACTACAGCACCGCTCTCCCGCTGCAGGACCTCCATCACAGCTGTGACTTGGCCCCTCTCTACCCATAGTGGTGTGAGCAGGAGACCCACGCCACACCCCCTTCAGGGGCCGCTGCCCAGCCATACCTCGTGTTCGCGATCCGCTCACGCCATTCTTCTGAGAGGAAATCACCTCTTTCCAGCTGAAAGGGAGAAAACACAGACAGAGGTGACTACAGGAGCCGCCCAGGCACTGCCCACCCAAGAAGAGAAGGAAGGAGCTGAGTATCCACGCGGGGGGGGGGGGGGGGGGGGAGCAGGACCGCACTACAGCCCAGGTTTCGGCCCCAAGCCCACACCCTTTCTCACTACAGTACAAAAACAGAGACTGTCCCTGTGGTGAGCATCTCCGCACTGCCCCGAGTGACCTGGGTACGAGTGTCCCACCCCAGACAGGTGATGTTGTGTGCCATCGAGTCAGTTCTGACTCATAACGACCCTGTATAGGATTTCTGAGGCTTTAAATCTCTGCGGGAGCAAAAAACCTGAATGAACCTTTCTCCTGAGGAGTGGCTGGCGGGCTCAAACTGCGGACCTTGTGGTTCACAGTCCAGAGTTTATAGTATGGTCCCGATAAACCAGCCTGGAGTTAAGGACAGGAAGGAGCTACTTAAGGCCCCTGCAAACAAACACTCAGGGTGCAGTTCCAGGGCCCTGGGCACCATGTGATTCTGACATGGGTCGCTCTGGACTTGTTTGCAGCACAAAGCCACGACGGTGACTGGTGTCTCAAGCCAACCCCATCAACCTGCCTCAAAGCCCACGCCCATCAGCCAAGACAGTTCTGAAGCAATAAAGAATTTGGCCAAAAGGTTACCGCCTCCATGCCCAGGTAGGTCCACATGCATGAGAGATGAAAGCCTGCATGTGCCTGCTGACAGACAGACAGACAGACGCCCACCAACAGAGACCAGACAGCCACACATTAGATCACAACTGATCCAGAAAGAGGAGGCCGCTCTGACGCACGTGCCGTATGGAAGAACTCCGAAAGCCTGACGCCAGGCCCGGCGGTCAAGAGACAGGAAGTGACTTCTGACCAGTGAGGGCCTCCTTCAGGGTAAAGGTTGTGCAGCCACACTGGGCTCAAGTCAGCAGTGCATATAGGGCGAAGCTGTTGTCTCTAAGCACGTGTCACCGTGCACATTCACGCCCCCAGTTCTGGAGTGAGGACAGCAGAGTGACAGCCTGAACTGGCCTCCTGAGCCATGGCCCCTACACACTCCAACACACAGCAGGTGGCCAGCGGGCGGCCCTGCACAGAGAGGGGGCTCCAGGACCCCAGCCCCACACCATGCATCACTCTACCGAGGCTCCACTTTGGCCTGCTGCAATCAGGACCCCAACAGGGGGTGGGCTCACTTCACCTTAACCTGATCCCAGTCTTGTCCTCAAGGGGGCGCCTAGCGCCCGGATGACAGACACTCCACTGTCCTCCAGGACTGGACACTGGCCACAGGGCCATGGGGCCAGTTGCACCTGAGAGCAGGGAGCAGGTAGAGGCTCAGAGGGCGAGCCAGGAAGCTCCTGGCCAGCACAGAGTGTGTGTGTGTGCGCGCACGCGTCCCTGTCCTCTCCTGGCCCACTGCTGCACTCTTCTAAGTGGGTGTGGACAGCTGGGCCACAGTCAGTCAGAGGACCCTCTCTGAGGAGGCTGGCAGTTACACAGCTTTGCAGCCAGGCAGCCAAGCTTCAAGACGCTCCACCAGAACCATAAAAAACACACAGCCACAAACTACACAAATGCCCTGGCTGCCACAGCCCCCAAGAGTAAACGTGTGGGAATAAAGGACTTAAATCGCCAAACCCATCCAACCAGCAAGTGGGCAGGAGCTCTGCCTCACCAAGAGGGCAGCCATCAGGGCCACACCGGACATCAAACGCTGCCGAAAGTGAGGAGAAGGCAGCAGGAAGGCCACACAGAGAGCGGGCTTCCAGAGACCAGAGTGAAAGCCTGAGGGAGGAGCCACACTGAACGGGCCCAAGCAGAGCCCAAAGGAGGAGAGCACGCAGAGGAAATGCCCGTTTCCCGAGAGACAGAGACGGGCAGAGAAGGGGCCGCACGCAAGAGGGCACTCACTGTGTATTCGGCATGCTTTTTTCCATACCATTTCATCCACTTCCTGAACTCGCGGTCCATCGTCTGGAAGGAAAAGACACATGGGGCCCCTTCGCCCTGAGGTGCTAGGTCACGACGTCCCACCAGGGCCCCCTGCACCCCCTGCTCAGGGTACCTCACAGAGCACGGGTCCCCTAAGCAGCTGAAGGACCACCACTCAGGCATGCCTCCCCCACCCTACCCTGGGTGTGAGTCCAGTCTGTGCCAGCTATCCCCGCCCTATCAGCTAATGTCCAGGGAAGATCAGAGGGGAATACAGACCCAGCTACTATAGTACACCAAGGAACACACAGCTACCCCTGAAGTCACTCACCTCCGCGTACTTGGCTGGGATGTCAGCTTTCTCGACTCCGTAGTGATGTTTGCAGTTGGTGGCCGCTGCGACCTGGAGCACGACCTGGCCCACTCCTAGAAACAGAGAGACAAGCTCAGACACAGGAGGACACGCTCAGACCCGGGCGACACCCTCAGACACTTGTCAGGATGGAGGCAGCCCCCAGTCCCCGGGGACTTGGACAGGTGGGGTTCAGTGGTGAGTGGAGTATCTGCAGTTAGCCTGCAGTAGGGTAGACATGTTCACACATTTCCAAGATTACGCCACAGGCGACCAAGGACCTGGCTCAGGCGACATCCACCTCCGTGACCGAGATCCTAGTCACAACCCTGTATGGTGCCAGCTGTGGAAACACCAGTCGGACGCCTCACAGACTCCAGCGGCTGTCCCAAATCCCCAGTTAACCACTCAGGGGGTTCAGCACCTCCAACCTGAAACCCGTTATCCCGCTTTTCAAGGATGGAATCCGTGGGAGAACCTGCAGCAGGCCACACCCATGCCTGTGCGCCCCCCCTGCCGAGCGGCAAGTCAGGGCCCCAAATCACAGGCCCACACAGTCAAGACTGTGAGCGCCGAGATGGCAGCATCGTGGGGCTCTGAAGCTCTGCAATGAGGTGTGGCCCAGGCCATGCAGGAAGTGTTAGCCAGAGAGCACTGGGCTCTGAGCACATCTGCATGGTCTGGAAAACACGGGTGTTCCGGCAGGGGAATGCTGGCTGTGCTCTAAGTGCACGCTCAGAGAGCACGCCCCCCCCCGGACATTCTAGCTGTAGCTGCTGTGGGGGCCCAGGCCTGGGGACGCCAGGTCGTACTGTGCATACCCTCTCAAGTTCAAGTGTGAGGCACGCTGGCTGACCAATCACAGCGACTCCCTAGGCCTCGGGGACCCGCCAGCACAGGCTCCCAGGCCCCCCACCTCTGTCAGGGTGTCGCCTGGCACAGAGAGTGGTTGGTCAGATAAATGAGAGGCCAAGAGTCTGTCGAGGTGGAAGCTGGATGTTGAAGACTAAGGCAGGAAGAGGAGAAGAGAAAGCCAGCAGGTGGGGACAGAGGTCTCCTCACTGCAGGAACGGGGACGGGATCAGCCGTGCTGTGCATGTGAGCTTAGCTGGGGGGGGTCTCAGGAGAGGTGCAGGCTGGACAAGTGGCAGTGGTGGCAGGGCTAGGGGCTGGCCTCATGCTCACCGCTGCCCAGGTCCACAAACAGGTCGTCCTCAGTCATCTTGATCTCGTCGATCATCTGCGCCACCAGGTCGAAGGAGGTCTCGCCGTACACCTCGGGTGAGAAGGGCTCGTAGTTGTTGAGTTTCTCGGGGTCGGTCACTGAGTGGTTGTAGACCTGCTGTAGGATGTGCCGCAGAAGCCCAGTGCACGGCCGCGTGTTCAGCTTCATGGGCTGCGTGGTCCCCTTCCACTAACACACAGGGGTGGCAAGAGAGCCCGTCAGCACCCAGTAGGCCACGGGCTGTGTGTGCCACCTGTGTGGACCCTTCCTCTCCTGGCTCTCGCTCACGGTGGGCAGATGGGCTTCCTGGGGCCCAGCTCGCTGGATCCAGGTGTGCCCGCTGACTGAGACCCAAACTCGGGCAGTGTGGTCTGTTCAAGCCTGCTGATCCTGGCACCCTCAGAAGCTCTGACCTCGGGAAGACCACCTCAAACTAGAATTCCGTTCCTGTGAAGCATTAACCAGGCACAGTTGGAACCTTGACTGCATGGCTGAGCTTCTGGACCCAGCCAGGGTGCCGGGCCCTGGGAGCTGGTCTACCTCCATCAAGGCGTGCCATGCCGGCCATCTCTGTGAAGACGGGCGTCACTGTGACTACCCGCAGCCACACTACGCTGACTGCATGGCCCCTGCCTAAAGCAGGGCCGAGGCTGCGTCCAAGGTGCCGTACACTAGCCCCAGGTGTCCCAGTGAGAGCGTCATGTACGTGCGGGGATGGCGGGTCACCTACCAGCTGGTGGATGCTGTCGATGGCCCGGTTGTACTTATCACACAGCCTCTGCATGCTCTCGAAGCTGAAAGACAGACACTGCTGAGGGTACTGGGACCCTCGCTACAGGCCCAGCCGGGGACAAGGGCTTCCACAGCAGACCTCAGACCACCAGCCAGCAGGTGGGAGGGGGACAGCTGAATGCAGATGGGGACAGGCGTCTGTCCTCTAGACACCCTCCATGCCCGGGGCCCTTGGACCTCACTCAGTCTGTGAGGCCAGGGGAGAGGGGAGCCCACAGCTGCTCTTAGAAGGAAAAGGCTTCCTTCGCTCTACCACTGCCCAGTTTGCTTTCCCTGTGGCCGCCACGGCTAGAAGCTTCTCCCTGGAAGAACTGTGACTGAGGCGGGTGTGCCCATGCCAAGGTGCAGAGAAGCCAGCCGCCCTGACTACTCCCCTTCACTGCTCCAGGCCTGGCTGAGAACACTGGCTGCAGGTGCCTCACTCTCTGAGGCCAGGAGTTACCTGGAGTCGGCAGCACTGAGTAAGTGCCCACCAACACCTGCCATCTGCCCAGCATCCACCCAGAGCATCCTTCTCAGATGTGGAGCAAGCGGCCCTCCGCCCCCACTGGGACGCCACCAGAGAGCAGGCCGGCTTTCCCTGAGGCCCAGAGAGGGAGTGCAGAGGGGGCAGGATGCTGACAGGAGCCCTCTGTGGGGAGGGACACAGCTGAGCTCCCACCAAGGAGCTGAGACTGGCCCAATCATGGAATGCTTCCCGCCTCTCCCCCAGAGACACAGAAATTCCAGGCCAGCATTCCAGAGTGCCTCGCCCTTCCCCAGTCTCCCGAGAGTCCAGAGAGGGCCTCCAGGAAAGTGCTGCACGCAGCCAAGGAGCTGCGGACAGTGAGCGGCTCAGTCCCTGTCAGCACTGAACCGCAGCTGGCCCAGGAGCCACAGGCCACGGCGGGGAGGGGGGCACGGGCAGGCCGGTGGCTCGCCACTTGTGGCGGTAGCCAGCTCCCGAAAGAGTGGTTTCACACACGCCAACTCATGTGTCCTAATCGCCAAGTTTCCAGTTCTGTCCTCCCGCTGACAGCATCTGCGAATGTTTGATAAACATTTCTACCAAAATAACTTGGCGGCATCCGCGGGCAGCTCCAAGAGGAACCCTCAGATCCACTTGTACCATCGAGGACTGCCTGGCTTGGGCCGCTTCCCCACGGCGGGCAGGCGGGCCAGAGCCCTCTTACCTTTTGGTATCGTAGTCAATCAGAACATAGTTCTCCATGGCCAGCTTCAGGTCTGGGATTTCCTCACAGACCCATCTGAAAAAGGAAAACACAAACAGCCAAGGTCTCATCAATGGCACGTCTAAATGTTTCTTGTGGCTGTTGCCGCTGTGTGCTTCCAGCGACCCCACGTGATAGAGGAGAGCTGCCTGCTCCGGTTTCCCAGGCTGTCATCTGGACAGACGGCGCCCTGGTGGCGCAGTGCTTAGGCGCTTGTCTAACTCACAAAGAGTGCTGCTGTAAGGAGCCGCTGCATCGGCAGCAGCATGAAGCCTGCCTGCTCATGCGCTACCTCGCGGCTGTCAGGTTAGGGCCCACTGCCACACTCCCTCTCTTAGGGGTCTCCCTCTTTTTCACTGACCCTCTATTTTACCAAGCATGATGTCATTCTCCTGACAACCGGTCTGAAGTAGGAGAGACCAAGTTTCACCGTCCTGGTGTCACTCTTCTGGTTTCTAAGGGACATTCCGTTTCTTCTAGAAGTCCATGGTACTTTTCAACTCAAAGGCACCAATTCTTCTACGGTCTTCCTTATTCTCTTCTACGGTCTTCCTTATTCACTGTCAAACTTTCACACACATATGAGACTACAGAAAATACCGTGGCTCAGAGGTCAGGCCTTCAAACTGACATCCTTCTCTCCAACACTTTCAAGAGGTCTTGTGCAGCAGACCTGCCTAATGCAATACTTCCTGTGATTCGCTGATTGTGGATCCAAGCCAAACGAAGTCTCTGAGAACTTCAATCTTTTCTCCATTTATCAGGATGTTATTTACTGCTCTGGTGGGGAGGAATTTTGTTTTCTTTGCCTTGAAGTGCAATCCATCCTGATGGCTGTGGTCTTTGATCTTCATCAGTAAGTACTTTAAGTCCTCTTCGCTTCTAAGAAACCCTACGTGGCCCTTCTACTCCGTCACATGGGGTCGCCGTGAGTCGGAATTGATTTGATAGCAATGGGCAACCTTTCTAGGAACAGATCACCAGGGCTTTCTTCTGTGGTGCTGCTGGGTGGGTTCAAACCGCTGTCCTTTTGGTCAGCAAGCTAGTGCTTAATCACTGTGCCACCAGGACTGCCTAAGCACTGATTACTCTTCAGAAACACAATTCAAATGTGAAAGGGAGAAGAGAAGCAATACTCAAGACAAACTCTGTGAAATGCAACCGTCGTGAGTCACACATGTTCCACACAGGAGCTCCTGGGAGCTGATGACCTCACAGACGGTCCGAAGGGGAGGGGACCGATGGGCTTAGAGCAGAGAGCATGAGAGAAACCCGTCTCCTAGGGACTAACAGGAACCATTAAGTGAGGAATTAATTTTTAGTCACAACAAACATAGCCAAGAAAGATCGATGAAAGGGAACCCGCACATTCAAAGAGAAAAATACAAAGGGGCTTCAAAAAGTTGGACTAATTCCATTACCTTTCATTCCCTTTTTCCACAAACTTTTTGAAGCCCCCTTGTATGCCAACGAACTGCACTGTGTAAACTTTAATTGGATCTTAATATAATCCTGAGAGAAAATTACAAAAGGGGGATCGGATCTCCTCACTCCCGAATAAAAGGAAACCGGGGTATCCTGAAAACCACTTAGAGGAAATGACCGAATGAACCAATGCCTGGATGGGCACAGATGACCAAAGCAGATACAAGAAGACAGAGACCACCTGAATAGCCTTCTCTCGATTTAAAGAACTGGCAGTCCTAACGAAATACACCTTCCAACCAAGACACCTGGAGCCCCATTTGGTTTCACCGGCGGATTCACTCAGACATGAAGAACAAAACCAACACCACACAAGCTCTTCAGGGTTTCAGGTCAGCACTAGTCTGACACGGAACCCCGGCATGAAGAAGAAACGACGCCTCGACATACCAGCATCCCGCATAAACACACGCCACAAACCTCCTGGTAAAACATCAGCCAACTGAATCCACCAACCACGATCGAGTGGTTCGTACACAGTTCACATTCTCAAACTCACCGCTGCAATTCACCCCACTGACACGATGGAAAGAAAAAGTACGATCCCACCAACAGGTACAGAAGAAGAAGAAAAAACCGGAAAATGCACCTCTCGGGAAACCAGAGACAGAAAAAATGTCCTCAGTGCACTAACCGGTGCTTAGCACACAGCTGTCTCCCAGCCCCCCTGCCAGCCTGAAAGAAGAATGAAGAAGGAACAAGCTCTCCCCTATCTGCTGGGGAGTCCCCAGGGGTGTAAACAGTCTGTACGCTTGGCTAACAGCCGAGCCAGAGGCCCCTCAGAACAAAGACCTGGCGATCTGCTTCAGAGCAGCCACTGGAAACCCTGGGGTACAGTTTGCCAGGTCGGTCCCGGGCAGGACCAGTCACCGCAGTCAAGGCTACGGAGTCCTGTTTATGCTTTACAACACACTGCTCTCCCTCTTCAAGCTTCCAACACTCCCTTCCACTGGGGGGTACTATGTAAGTAGGCACCACAAAGGACCCAGAAGAGTGACCGGAGGGAAGAGGGGAGTGTGCTGCAGTGACCTCACACACAGCTCCTGACCCTTGGTGTCTCTGTGCTCCGTGCTCCATAAGGGGTCACATTTCACAGCATGTTGCCAGGCCTTTCTTCCAAGGCACCCCAGAATGAACGTTTTCAGGAGCAGCCCAGCACATGCATTCACTGTTTGCACCCACAGGGCTTCCTCTGAAAGAAGCAAACTTCCTGTCAGAGAAGGTCTGCCACCCTCTCCCATCGTCTTTAAGCCGAGAGCTTATGAATCCATGTTAGGAGGAGCCAGGCCGAGGAGGTGGCCCGAGTCAGCCAAGCCTGGGATTTGGGAAACTCAGGTCTATTCCGGCCTCTGGAAGCAGGTGCTGGTGACTCACCGAATGGTCTCGATGATTTCATGAGCAGCATCATGATGTTTGTCCTGAAAAACAACGGGAAGCCGTTTTAGAGCCCTCCTATGTCTAATGCTGTCTCCCCCTGTATTCCTCACCTGGTGTCACCTCCGAGCCCACCACCAATGCAGACTGCCAGGACCCACCCCAGCCAAGTCACCCAGCCTTTCCCTGGGGGCCTGGGGCAAGCAGAGCTCAACCCCCACCTGAGCCAAACAACCCTGAACCCAGGGGGTCAGAGCTACACAGGCTCCGGGTGGAAGGGCTAAGGGCAGAAGGTAAGGCAGGCCCCAAGGCTGCCAGTGGGACTCGGTGACACCCAACACCTGAGTCTGCTCCAGCTGTCACAGGTCCTAACAGGGAGGGTGCACGGGGGGCGGGGACAGAGTGGGGAAACATGATGGGAAAGGGTCTGGGCTCATGAGCCAACACCGGAGTGGCCAGCGGAGTCTCCTACGATCCCCTCAGGCCCGACTTCCATAGTTTGAAGATGAGAAAGCCAGCAGTAGACAGAAGAGGGTCTGAGGGGGTCTATAAGAGCACCTAGCTCATCTCAGCATTCAGTGAGACCCCAACACTTCTCATGCGAAGTCCACTGTGACTTCTTGTAACAGCTTGCTGGTGCTACCGACTCATTGCAACACCCCGAGACTGAGTAGACCAGCTCCAGAGTTTTCTAAGCTGTCATCTTTATGGAGGGGCCCTGAAGGTGCGGTGGGTTAGGCACTAGGGGGCTAACAGAAAGGTCAACAGTTTGATGTCCTACTATGACCTGGAGGAGGCACTGCCAACTGCAGTGGGTTTGAATCTTTGTGGGCACAGGTCTCCAGACCAACTTCTGATTAAACAGCAAGAGCTTAACCCTCAACAGGACCAACTGGCACAGTGGCCTCAGCAATGGGCTCAAACTACAACTGTGAGGTTCCATCCAACGCAGGACTGGGCAGTGTTTCCTTCTGTTGTGCATGGGGTCACTATGAGTCCGAATCAACTCACTGGTACCTACCCACAAAGCTCACCTGCTGGGAGTGAGCACGGCCGTGGCTCAGTCCGCTCATAACGAACACCTCTACCTAGCTCCCGAACCTTGGCAGTACCCCACCCCTGAATCTCTGCCCAGGAGCAGCCACGTCTCATCCCCACTGTTGCTGTGAAGTGCTGACAGTCCATTCTGACTCAGCGACCCTGTGTAGGGTTGCTGAGCAGCAGCTGGGGAGTCTGAACCACCGGCCTTCCAGTAGGCCGAGTGCTTATCCTGTGGTTTCAGACCAAGAGTCTCCTCCAGCGCCCGACAACCATGAATCCACGTTCTGACTCTGGATTTGCCAGCACATCAATGCAACCATATAATTAATCTGTTGGGGGGGGGCAGTTTAAGGTCACAGAGAAGCCTGTCTTCAAGCATTCTTCATGTGGTTATTAGCTGCAATCAAGTCAATTCAGACTCACAGCGCCCCCATGTGTTACAGAGCAGAACTGCTCCACACCTTAAATGAAGCAGATAGTACCACTGGGTGGGTTCAAACCACCAACCTTTGGTTATCAATTGAGTGCAGGGGGCCTTAGCATTCTTATTCATATCCCCAACTTCCTGAAGTCTTGCTGTGGTGCTGTCAGATAAGCACTGGACTGCTAAGTCAGTGGTTTAAACTCGTCAGCAGCTCCTTGGAAATCCTATACAAGGTTGCTATGAGTCAGAAGCAACTCCATGGCACTTAACAACTGACTGAAACATGACACCCTAATTCATCGTACCCCATTATAGAGATGAGGTGCCATCACAGAAAGAAGCCAGCCTTGCAAACCAGGGGTTCCCAGAGGGACCAAGCAGCAGCTACACCCCCCGGGACTAGTTGCAAAAGCGGATTCCTGAGCCCATCTGCTGGACTGGAAGCTACTGGTGGACAGGTCACCTCAGCCCTCGTGGTAAACGCCAGAAGACTGGCAGGCAGCCAGGCAGTTGGCCATGGGTCTCATGGAGGGACCTCAGAGACTTCGGTCCTGACTCTACCCTCTTCAGGTCTAGAACTGAACTCACCCCCGTGGTTCAGCTTTCAGACAGGAAACAGATCCTGTAAGGGGAATAGTCTAGCTGAATACTAACCATTTGACATCAAAAGGGTGGCATTTATCCAGGGACAAAGTTCACAAGCATTGGTACAGAAGGAGCAGAAAGAGGAAACAAGGGAGGAAGTCATAAACTACAGGACACTGACGGGACTGCAATCCATAACAAAAAACAAAGCAGGTACGAACTGTCAAGTGGAAAACTGATGGCCTGCTCCGTAAACCTTCATCCAACGCACAGTGAAAAATTTAAAACAAGAGAAGCACCTTCAATAAAACCCGGAAGTGACAAAAGAGGACAGTGGGCTGTGTAGGAAGCAGGAACAGAAAGCGATTGAGATGCCCTTGCTCCAGACAGAGTAGATTTCCAAATGGCCAATAAGAGGTTTGGTGGCATTACTCACCCAGGTCCTCGAACCAGGATCACAAACCACCAGTGTTGGTGAGCATGTGGCAAAACCAACTTGTGAGTACTGGCACGGAGACTCCAGTTATGGGAGACATGTCCAGAAAAAGCAAATGCAAAAATGGACACTGACTGGTTTCAAGTCAGGAGAGGTGTGCGTCAGGGCTGTACTCTTTCACCATACTTATTCAGTCTGTATGCTGAGCAAAGAATCCAAGAAACTGGATGGTATGAATAAGAACGGGGCATAAAGATTGGAGGAAGACTCATTAACAGCTTGAGATATGCAGATGATACAACCTTGCTTGCTGAAAGTGAAGAGGCTTAAAATACTTATTGATGATGGAGGACAAAGACCACACCCTTTCATATGGGTTGTACCCCAATGTGAAGAAAACAAAAATCCTCACCACTAGATAGAAAGGAATATCGGAAAATATTTTTACAGAAGTTTGTAAGTCCCTCTTCAGCCTATAACTGTTGTTGTTGTTAAGTGCCGTGGAGTCGATTCCGACCCATAGCGACCCCGTACAGAGTTTCCAAGGCTGTAAATCTTTACAGGGGCAGAAAGCCTTATCTTTCTCCCACAGAGCAGCTGGTAGTTTCAAACTGCTGAACTTGCGGTTCACAGCAAGTATACTTGAGGTATACTACCAGAGCTCCTTTAACTGACAGAAATACTTAAAAGGTATTCTAGAATTTGCCCAGTGAAATGGTCTTCTTCCAAAGCCTTTCAGTGTATAGGGCCTTTTAGTAATAGGGCCTTCAGTGGAATCCTGAGCCCCATCTAGAATCTTCTGAGGTGGGGCATCCCCACTTGAAAAGGCATGCAGAACAACCCAGAGGGGCTAGGGGTACAAAACATACTTCTTGAAAGAAAGACCAGCAGGAAAACAAAGAAACAGCAGACTGGTTACTGTAAGAACAAGCAAGCTGTATGCTGGGGAGCCCTTCAGGACAAACCCCTTCCAAGACTGAAACTCAAAGGGAACACACAAGCAGGCTTAAACACCTATGAGTGGGAGGAGGGGAAAGGCAGTAATGAAGACCTGGGCTAAGTCTGACCCTGTTCCATAGACATCTGTTGACCTCGAGGTGAGAGAGATAAGAGGAAGGAAGGACTGGTTGCTCCAAAGTCTGGGGAGACTTGGGAACTCCTGAGCCCATGAACACTGACCTAGCCACTAGGGGCTAGAGCTGAGAGCAAAGCGTCCAGCTGATATAAAGTTGGAGGAGTCACTCAAGAACGGCCAAACTTGCAGATAGTAACCACTTAACCTAGCTTGGATGGCTTGATAACCAGAACTTGAGGAAGATAAAAAAAATTCATACAGGAAGCAAGTGTAAAATGCTACAATTTGATGAACTTGACATATACTTATGGATATAGTGGCTCCAAATACCAACCAAGAGAGGAGTCTTCACATCAAGGATGAAGCCTGTCCCCTCTGTATACAGGGTTAATAAGGAAGGGCAACTCAGACACTGGCTACCTAAAATGGAGGACGAGGGTTATAAAGACACCAAGTGACTGGCAGGCTCACAAGTTTTCAAGAGGGGGTTTAGTTTAACAGAGTCCCCACTAAACAGTTTTCATCTTGTCTAGATGGGT